CCTGGTGTGGTCACTATCTTTTGCCACTTCGTTGTCCAGTCTCGAGTTGGCATGTTCCGCTGAGAGCATGTGTACACCTCATTCATGACCGCCTTCACGACGTTGCGGACCATGATTCGGGTGAACCATAGCTGCTCGAACTCCTTCCACGTGATGTGCGTGTGGAGTTCGGCGATGGTGCACTTGTGGGTAGCCGCCAGGTGGTTCATCCATGCCTGCGCTCCTCCAATCAGTTGCAAATAGAGTGCCTTCAACATGTCGTTCGCCGGGACAGTGCGGCATGACGCTTCCGTGAGGAAACGTTGCAGCTTGGTGATGTCCGTCTTGATGGCGGCCACCGTGCTGCTGATCGTGTCCGGTCCGTTGAAACCACCTATGTCGTAGATGATGGTGACGACGTGATCGATGCGTTTGTCGATTTGCTTCGTCGCGTCTGTCGTGCAGCCTGGCGCTGCTGAGGCCTTGGCTTCAATGCCGTTGATGCGTGCGATGGTAGAGTTCATCAGCTGTTGCTGTTGCTGTTGCTGCATTGTGCGTCGCAGACGCCGGCCGTTACAGCGGCCAGGTCTTGCTGGTATTGCTGTCTTTGCTGTCGTTCCGCGTGCAGGTGTGCCTGCAGTAGTTTGTTGTTCCACATTACTCCCCTCATTACGTTCAACATCACGGTAGCCAGGTTACTTCTCTCTGCCTCCACCTGTGTTGGCTCCGCCTGCGTTTCCGTAGGCACAAAGATCATGCCTTGGAGTATCGTTGTCCACTGATGCTCACTAGTAATCAGGGACTCCGTGCTGGCGGCATTCCGTCTATTTCGTGCCGCTTCGTCAGTCTCAGCTGTCCGCTGAGCTTCGGCTGCCGCCTCATTGGCCAACCGCTGACGTTCTGCCTCTGCCGCAGCCTGCTGAGCCTCGGCGGCGGCTACGGCGTCTGTAAATGCCTGTAGCCGCCCACGATAGTCAGCCAAAGGCTCGCTGGCCTCTCGGACCGGGCATGCGGGAAGATCTCCGGTGGTGTCTTGTACTGTCAATGCCATACTTGATGTCGCTGGAGTCGTCCGTCTGCTTAATCTCTTGGGTCTTGGAGGTACCGCAGGGCGGGCACGAACTGCGATTCTGGCACTGCGCCGTGGCAGTGCCCCAGTGTCCTGTTCCATCGAGATCAGTCTGAACTGATGCGGTACTTGAGAGGTGCCGGTGTTCACAGATTAAAGGGGGGGGTAGGGAGAGTGGGAACAGGGGTAGAACATACAATCCCCCGTCCCACTGATGGACTGTAGACACCTAATCAAACAGAAAAATAAATTTCCCGTAAATCACTCCAAAATTCGTAATAAGAATTTAATAACGATTTAATCAGTAAAATTAATTAATGATAAATGACGAAATAATAATTCTTAATGATAATCCAAAAGATAACCAATAATCAATATTTGCAAAAGATAAATCAATAACCCATCATTGCAATCATGATAATAACGAATTTGAATGGTGTTATGATTAGATCTCTTTGAGATCACTTGAGTACGTGAGTTCATCGTTAATGAGTGAACTACCCGGAAGTTGCAGTTTGAGGGTCAAATACGGATTAGTGTGCTTGAAGGAGTTTCGGGAAATTTCAGAAGAAAAACACTCGAATTTTCAAAAACGTGAATTTTCGGGAATTTCCACCGTCAAAATCCGATTTTTAAAAGCCTAAACCTGTTTTCGGAATTTCTCAAACAAGGGAAACGAAAAACAAATTCGCGAAAATTTCGGTCCCAACCCTAATTTTCCGCGTTTCCGCGAAGTTTCCGGATTTACAGTCCCAAAACGTTCGAATTTCCCCAAGTTGATTAAAAAACCAAAGATTTCGTAACCCTAATTTCCAATACTGAAAGACAACGGAAATCCCCAAAAGAAAACGTAATATAGGATTTACAACAGAA